CGAGGTTCAGATCCTCATCATAGGTTGCTTTTGGTGTTTTTTTCTTTTTTTGTTTTTTTTGATCAGGTGCTTTTGGTTTTTTACTTTCAAGCTTTTGTAACATGCCCCTTTGATATTAAAAAATATGATAAATTATTTTCATAATTACTTTTACTTAATTGAAATCCAAACACACCCACAATAATAACGGGGATTTCCAAGGCACGCAAGATATATATATATATATATAGCCATAACTGAAAAATGGAAAATGACAAACGTGCTACTAAAAGTAAAACTTAAATATTGTGAAATCAGCATCAAAAGACATAGTGGTGGAAGATCTTTATTCTCAGGCACACCATTTCCCTGTTGTTTACATTACTTTTTCTTTTTCTCTTTTTTCCCAGTTTTTGGTAGATCTATTCTTGTCAGGGTGTTACCAGATGCAACAAAACCTATAGACATAGTTACCTATGAGTTTGCTAGGGGTGATAAGAGTATAATATAGTGTGTGGATATGTATATATAGTGTGGAACAATGCATATTTAGGTTGAGTTTTTGCTATATGTCAAGTCCATTTGCCTTACTTGTAACTATTTGCTTGTTGCTATTAAGCTGATAATAAAGTTACTTTTTTTTTTTTAATGGAAGAGCATTCAAGTGAATTGAGTCCTAAAAGCTTACTAAAGTCAAAGCATTTCTTCAGGTTCAATAAACACTTAAAGAAGTATTTACAGATCATCCACCAGTAAGATGATTATTATATTAACAACGGGATTTGATTTTATAATATTGTGAGTTATGAGTCAAATTATTATTAATTGTACCAATCTTTGTTATTTAGGTCACTTGTTATTAAGGGAATTATTTAGAATATCTTAGAAAGTCTCTCTCTCTCTCTCTCTCTCTTTCTCTTCTTGTTTCTCGTTATTAGTTGTTTCTTTTCTTTTCTTTTCTTTTTTCCTTTTTTTTTTATAGCAATGGAAAAACTAAAGAGTAATAAAGTCATGTTATAGCACACTAAATCAGGAGAGGAGTAAAAGACAGGGTGAAACACAAAAACACAACATAGAGACTGTTTGGCAAGCATGTCAGCAGCTTTATTAGCATCTCACAAGATATGATGGACTATCACACACCAATCATGAGCCAAAAGGCCTTGAATCTCAGAGATAAGCTCCATATTTGTTGCTTGTTTCTTAACACATGTTAAGATGACCTTTGTTGTTGCCTTTAGAAGGAACTTAACATAGTGTGTAGTGGTAAGTAGGATTATTTACGTCAAATAAAAACAAATGTAGATAAGACTATCCATGCCGATTTTTAAACCAAACCGACGCAAAATGTGGCATTTCTGTGTCAATTTGCTTTTTAAACCGACATAGATAGTTTTACCTATGTTATATTTCTGTTATCACCATCGTAGAAAGATTTGAGGGCACAAATAGAAAGACTTGAGACAGGGAGAAAACTCAAGAAAGAAATGATGAGGGTTAGCCATAAGTGGCACATTGCTATTCAAAAATCTGCTTTACAATCTCTTTCTAGGAAAATTCAAGAATCTCTTTCTCCTACTCTAATCTGTTTCTTTTAAATACTTTGTGGTTCTATTTATAGGGTAGAGAAAGAAAGTAATTGTTTTGATTATATTTATATAATACCTCAATAATTGTTGATGCATTCATCTATACCATTTTTTCCCCATTAAATGTTAGGAATGTTAGTAACTGTTAGAGTATTTTATAATTAAAATATGTATATTTAATATAAGTGAAATTGAAAATTTGTTGAATTTTAAAGTAGAGTTAATAAGATTTAAGATTTTCTTTAATTTTAATGAAAATATCAAAAGTAACTTATAAATAGAATTAGAGAGAGTATAATGTTATGCACTTGCAAACATGAATCATTTTCCCAGCTTCCAAACAACTCACTTTAGTATCAAACACTAGCCTCAAAAAATAGAGATTTACATGTCCCCTGAATTTTTTTTTAAATTGAAGGATTTGTTTCACAACTTGTTCTGAAAATAGGTTTTTATTTTTCAAAATGAAAAACAAATTTGTTTGGTAATATGTTTTCAAAGTGTCTTGGAAAAAAAAAACCAAATATTTTTTAGAAAATAGAAAAATAAAAATATTTTTTAGATGTTTTGAGATTATTGTTCTTCAAAACAAAAGAGAATGTAGAAAACACCTGCTTTCATTATTTTTTTATTACAAAACACCTGTTTTCAAAATAAAAAATAAAAACAATTTCAAACAAGACCTAAATCCTTTATAATGAATTTGTATTCCACCATCCCACTAAAAGGTTATTTTAGTAAATAAATGACTGTTGGGCAGCTTTTTTAATGAAAGAACAAAGAAAGAACGTAAGCACTATTGCCAATGGCCTAACACATGAATTATCTGTCATTGTGTGGCGTGGAATTTCGAAGCTGATGTTGAAGATAAGATTAAACACATTAGTATGATGGTTAACTCATTTACTTTGGTGATCCTAATTTGAAACAATCCACAAATTTTCATGAATGCAAAGTGCCATAAACAAGAATTGGACGAGGGAAATGGATTACCACAAGAGCTTAAACAAATTCTTCCAGAGCTATATAGTGAGATAGATGATAGAAGAATGTGGGAAAATGTATTTTTCATTCATACCCATATGATGTTCTACATCTGAATATATACACTGAGGGATATCAAGAGATTAAAAGCTAATTAAAACTAATGAATGCTATATAATCACATCCTGATCACTAGCACTATTCTATAGAATATTTACAATAAAAGAAAATATATTTTCACATTCCCCCTTAAGTTGGATCATAAATAAAGATCATGCGCAACTTATTTAATCATTTGTCAAAGCTTTCTCTTGGTTGTTTCTTGGTGAGAAAATTAGCAACTTGCTTCTTTGTCGGGCCAAAGATTAGACGCGCTATTCCACTTTCAATCTTTTTTTACTTTGATGAAATGTCTGTGCATTTCAATATGCTTTGCTCTATCATGTTGAATTGGACTATGAAATATACTCTGCTGCCCTGCTATCATAATAGAGCTTGGTAGGCCATTTTATATCAATCTACAATTCTTTTAGGAGTATTTGCAACCAGAGGCCTTCACGAATTCCATGAGCAAAGGCTAAATTCAACATTTGCAACACTTTTTGTTGCCACATTTTGTTCCTTGCTTCTCCAAGTTATTAGATTACCCCAAAAAATGCTATAGTTCCCAAATGTAGATCTATCATCTGAAATGCCTACCCAATCAACATCAATAAATTATTTCTATGTTGGTTTGTTCACCTCTCTTAAAGAAAAAGCCCTTTCCTAGACTGGCCTTTTAACAACAACAACAACAACAACAACAACAAACCTTTATTCCACTAGACTGGCCTTTTAAGTACCTCAAATTTTGCACACAGCTTGTAAGTAGATTTCTTTTAGTATGTACATTTACTGATTTACAAAGCTCATAGCAAAGACAATATTTGGTCTTATATGTGACTAGTATATCAGTTTCCCACCAAACTCTAATATCTCTCCTTGTCAATTAGTTGGCTGCCTTCTTTCTCCTCTTCGTCTTCATCATCGCCTTCCTCTCCTTTCTTTCTTTTTTTTTTCTTTTTTATTGCAATAGGAGTATCAGCCATATGCAGCATAGTGTTGTAGTCTTTGTCAAGAGATCAAGAACATATTTTCTTCATGAGATGCATATTCCTTTCTTTGGCCTAGCCAATCCCATTGCGTTTTCTCCTTCCTTGTGCCTAACAATGAATGCATGATCAAACTGGACTTGCTAATAACTGTCCCTTCTTCAACAATTAGGAGAATCTATCAAATCATGTTCTAGGAGATTGCTTCAACCCATAAAGAGATTTCTTTAGCTTGCAATCCATGTTGCTTTTACCTAGTTTTCAAATTCAAGACGAAGGGTCATGTACACTTCTTCAGCTAAGTCACTATTAAGGAAGGCATTGTTGATGCCAAGAAGATAAAGTGGCCAGTCAAGATTTGCAAATAATAATAAAAGAACTCTAACGACCTTAAGCTTTGCAACTAGGACAAATGTTTTGATGTAGTCAATGCCATTAGTCCAAGTGAACCCTTGCGTGATAAGATGTGCTTTATATTTGTTCAAAGTGTCATCTGAATGATTATAATTTGGTATAAAGACCCATTTGTATCCTGCAAGTTTCTTTCCTCAAGGCAGATAAACAACTACCTATATATTGTTCTTTCCCAGAGCATTCATTTCCCCTATGACTGCACTCCTCCACTCACGATACAAGAGCTTCTGGGATATTATTTGTGATCGTAACCATGCATGTCCAAGTTAGTGGAATTTCTGTGTACTATTGTTGAATCTAGTGGTAGCACATGTGAGAGCCACCTGCCGTTGCTCAATGCGGGATTTCCAGGTTTGGCCGAATGGCAGCCTCTAATCCCTTCTAGCAAGGCGATGAGATCCAAAACCTCACCTTCCATGGCATACTCTCAAAACAGTGACCCTGGAAATGTGGATAGGCACAAAACAGTAACCCTGGAAATGTGGATAGGCGAGACTTTGAAACCCTAGGCACCCACGCTCTGATACCATGTGGGAAAATGTATTTTTCATTCATATCCAAATGATATTCTACATTTGAATATATACACTAAAGGATATAAAGATATTAAAAGCTAATAAAGACTAATAAATGCTATACAATCACATCATAATGACTAGCATTATCTCATAGAATATTTACAATAAAAGTAAATATATTTCCACAATCTGCTAGAACTTGCACAAAAGAATTAGAATCCATCTATAACTCCAGAAATAATTAGATAGTCCAAAACCTTGACAGTGACAAGCCAAGATTGTAAATCTTCACTAAATAGCATTGTGTTGAAAGATATCAAGGCTAACCACAGGATATGAAGACTAAACTGTGAAGCTTCTGGATGATCATATTGGGTGGAGTGCTTCAAAGTAGTAGAATCACAAGCATGACTAATTGGATCAAGTTTACGAAGTTCTAATCACAGTTTTATATCCACCAGAAGTTAATCAAGTTCAACGACTATTTAACGCAAAATACAAGTAAATTTATTAGGAAAACGCCTAACTTACATCACCCTGAATCTTTAACATTTTTTACCCTGAAAATACAGAGACCTTAAAAAGATACAAACTTTGTCAGCACAGAATTTTAGTGCAGCTTCGCATCATCTGCTTTCTTCCTACAGAATTTATGATGCATATGACCGCTACACATTGATCTACAGAGGCAAAAAGAAAAAATAGAAGAGAAGAAATAGTTTATTGGCAAGGATTTGCAGCAACAAATTTTCTTGGGGAAGCCTTCTCTTCAAGAAATTTACCATCTCTACACATGCAGCCGAAGCCGCACTTTGCTCTTTTCTGGCGATGATGTTTCAAGTGAGAGCATGGAATCAACATGATTTGCCATTGAGGGATCATCACTTCAATTTTCTACCATCTTGCTTAATGAAAATTTTTATGTTCTTGTGAGATCTGTACTAAAAGTATGTGAATCTTAAAAGTTAGCATTTTCTATCCTCCATAAACAATCTTTTCTCAGAGATGAGTCTGTAAATATGGCTTTGATAAAATATTCCACCTGCAAAAGAGGTTACCAACGTGCATTTAAGATTTTGAGGATTATACATAACAAGAAAAATCTCAAGTAAACGGTGATGAAACTTGGTTCCATTCCCATATTGTAATCATAACCCATATGAATCACTGAGAATGCAAAACCAGGAATAATGGAAATGGACATGCAGCATAATTTTCCTTAGGGCATAGATTACGCGTTAATTTGCTTACTTAATGCATTTTGCTGGCATAACTATTCAAAACCCAAAATTTCATTTAACATCTAACTTTCATTATCCTAGTATAAAATTGAAAATCTAGTTTCACATAATTATGGAAGTCATTTGATCGAGACCTTTTAATTAACAATATTCTTAAAAGCTTGGTAAATGATAGAATACAATAGCATAATGTAATCCATGTAGCCGATCCCACCTAATGGGATAAGGCTTGTTGTTGTTGTAGTTTTACATAATCAAATATTAAAACATTCATCTTGAAGAGAACAGAAGGTATAACTAGTAACACAGGAGTCATCAATAAATGAGAGGAAAAGCAAAAGAATTCCCCAGAAAATGTTGCAAATCCCAAAATAAGTACCAGATGGAAGGGTAGGGAAAGAAATATGATATCCAAACAAAGTCAACATCAATCAAATAATACCTCAGTTATTGTAAAGCCACAACAGAGCAACTCTTTACTCTCCCAAGCAGCAGTGATGGATTTTAGAGGCATGTCTAATAATTCTGAGGCAAATTACAAATGAAAATATTAGTAAACAGATGTGATGATCTAACAGCCACCTTGTACAAAAAATTAGTATGTGATGCAACATGCCTGACAGTTTGCGAATTTTACGTAATGATGGGATGAGATCATCAAAAGATTCCAAAGAGAAATCATGTGACTTCTGATCCACAGAAAGCAGGGACTCAAACAAAGATGACAGATTTTCCAGCATCATATGAATAAGTCTTTGTAGCTGAATATGAGAGGAAAGTATTAAAATGACTTCTAAAACCAAAATGTTAGGTTTATAAGCATTGACTATGCTAACTTTTGGTCTGAACTCTACCTGTAATGTCTCATCTGCTGCTATGTCATCTAAGAAAAGTATGTCTCTTGTAATTCGTAAGAAAACTGACTCTAAAACAGTACACATGCTTTTCCTGTAAGTTGAAGGCATCAAAAGTGGCTCCCATATGATGCGTACTTTCTCCAGAATGAAGACAACCTAATCAAGCATATTCAGCTCCAATTCATCCACGAAATTAAAAAACACTTCAACTAATGTAATTAACCAATGGCAACAAACCTACCAGCCCCATTGTGCATGAGAACACAGGGAGTAGACAGGTAAAAAAATGATCAAACAACTTCCACAAAACAGATTACAGTATGCAAGTGATTTTAACAAGTTACTTGATCTATGCCAAATTTTGCTGATTCAAATTGTGGCATCTGATGAGTATTCTGGAATCCATCAGCACCATCTATAGCCTACAAAAATAAACATCAAAACAGCAGAAAGTGAAAGAATGTTAAGGCAGAGTGCAAACCTAGACTTCATGCCATGTGATGATGGGATACACTACTGATGATGAAAGCATTTTAGGAAAGCTTACCTCCTTCAAGTTAAAGATAACCAGATGTATTTGTCTTTGCAGTATTTCTTCTGCCATAAGCTGAAATCTTGGAGCTAGATCAACAAACATAGCATGCTCCTTAATGGAATCTGGGAAGTCTGCACGATACTGAGACAAGAGAGTCCAAATGCATGAGCCAAAAGAAAATACGTAAACATAATATCAAGATGAAAATAGTAAAATGCTTACATTCAATATTTCATTGAAATTTTCAGTTGTTGAAAATCCAATAGATGAAACAGAAGACAGTAATGAGACTTAAGTAAATGCTACAATCTCACATTAAATCAATTTTTTAACATTAAATTAATCCATAATAAATACAAAAACTAATCCATGATTAAAAATACAAAAGTAGTTTGCAATGGGAATTTACTCCTTCTCAATTATAGAAGCATACCTCAAATGCAAGTCCAAGTATCTCTTGGGAGAAATAAAGACAGTCATTGTGCATCAGTACAGCTACTTGGTTGATGCTATCAAGCTGCCTTTCTAGCTTCACAAGTCAAACATGTGAATTGAGTCGACTATCTTAATAAAAGCACAAGAACAGACACATGACACATAAGTACAGAAATACACGTGAATTGAGTTGCGCATCTGCCTTAGCCTAATAATCCTGATTTTTATTCTTATCCAAATAAGTCATTAGATATCCTAGTCAGCTAGAATACAAATATATAACTTATTTATGATAAAACCCCAACACCAGGTAATTGCACATACTAACAACACATTATACATATTCCAGTGTCATATCCATTCCCATGCTACATTAGAATATATTGTACATAACATGCAAGTATAATTGAGTATGAAAGGAACTGTCCTCTATGTAGTTAGTCGTCAAGTCAGTAATATGCTCCATCATGGTATATTAATATTAGTTCTCCAAGCTCCGAGAAAAAACATAGTATACAATAAAATAAAGCTCCAAAGAGCACCTTCACCAAACATCATAAGACATATTAAGAAAACACTTGAGATTTACCTCAGCTAAAGGCCAGAAAACATACAAATAATACAGGAAACGACATTATTAGAGAGTAATTAAAATCAGTGTGACTTTCAACTTTAAGTCACTTCAATATATTTTACCCAACAAAACTACTTCATAATTATAAAATTATAAAAATACTAAATTCAGCATTAAGACCTGTCCAGTATGCCACCTCCATACATGAACTAACCTTGACAGGGACAACAACTTCATAAAGAAGTATGGCATCTCTAGCTGCATGATAAAATTCCAAAGCAACTCTTGTAGATGACAGGCAAACATCCTGCAAGACATTGCCATTTATCAAGATGAACACATGGATGTCTCTACAGAATATTGTAAATCAATTGACTGAAATTTCCTGAAAATGTTAATTTTAAAGAGTCCATAGGATTATGTTAAGCATCAAATAAGACAGCCATGTGATCATAATTATACTATTATGTCATACAATGCATAGAGTTCCAGAGTTCCTCTCTCATTTTAAGCATCAAAGTTTGGAATAAAAATAAATGGAAAAAATTATTATCTACCAAAAGTCACTTTATGATGCAAACTCAGAAGGACAAAGATCCTATCAGATTTTTAACCCAAGTATCAAAGAGTTGGGATTTTTTCCCAGTAATATTTATTCAAATATTTTCAAGTTCAAGTGCAACAATAAGGCAGAAAGGACTGCATGTTAAAGCACAGGTATCACATTCACCATACAAGCAGATCATCATACACGTTATCATCGTCCAGTCACCATATTCTCTAATTGCTGCATTTAACCTCAAAACTGCAGCAATTCCCAATTCTAGATGGTACAAATATCATTGAAAGTTTTTTTTTTTTATATCCAGTAATAATAATGAATTTATTGTCTATGGTCCCAACCATGACATTAGTTCAAACTTGTTCTTGACCCTGAATTACCTTTCCCAGAGTGTTATCACATGCAATATGAGGAAGGATATGTATATATATGTATAAAACAACAACACAACAATTGAACAATAATAAACCTTATCCCACTAAATGAGGTGAGTTACATGGATTGCACAACCCATTATACTCTATCATCAACCAAGCTATTAGAAATTTTGTTAACTAAGAGGCCATGTTCAACAACTTTCATAAGTGTTTTCTTTGCTCTACTGCTCTTTAAAGGGTTAAAGATTATCCATTCCACTCTCCTCACTTATACATTCCACAGCCTTGTGTCACGGATGATATCTCCGTGACCGTGTAAAGACCAAGATAATAAACGATCCGCTGGTTAGCCTCGCACAATATGGGTAAAGGGGGCGACATTAGCATTGGGGGTGTTCTGCCTCAGTCTTCGGACTGAGTGCACAACTGGTCAGGGGCTAGTGCCGCCTCCCTGATGAGCCCATGGCAGGGCGAAACCAGTGTGATCCGTATGTGGTAAGGCTTGTCCTGAGGATTATGGGGTCCTCCAGGACGCTGCACGAGCGCCGTGTGCTGCGCCAGACTCTCAGCCCGTGACAGAGTGGTATCAGAGCGGGACGTACTTTACTGTAGTGTGCGCGTGGGGTCCCACGTTGGAACTGGTCGGCCTCGGCACCGCTCCAAAAAGGCCTCTGAGCAGGTGGGTCCAAAAGTGGGGACTCGGGCGGGAAGGTTGGCCGTTGTCGACTCCACTCCTGTTGGCTCGCGGGTGCGAGTAGGTCTGAAGAGTGCAGGACTCGGGTGGCTACTCAGCAGTAAGCTGATGTGTTTGTGGCAGTACTGTACGTACGATCCTTGGGTGGAGTCGTTCTCCCCTAGCACGAGGGCGTGCTAGATTGGGTGTGGGAGAATGTCACGGATGATATCTCCGTGACCGTGTAAAGACCAAGATAATGAACGATCCGCTGGTTAGCCTCGCACAATATGGGTAAAGGGGGCGACATTAGCATTGGGGGTATTCTGCCTCAGTCTTCGGACTGAGTGCACAACTGGTCGAGGGCTAGTGCCGCCTCCCTGATGAGTCCATGGCAGGGCGAAACCAGTGTGATCCGTATGTGGTAAGGCTTGTCCTGAGGATTATGGGGTCCTCCAGGACGCCGCACGGGCGCCGTGTGCTGTGCCAGACTCTCAGCCTGTGACACTTGTCTGTACATATTCAAATTATCTTAAATGATTTTCTACCATTTTTCCCTCAAGAGATGCCACGTCCACTTTTTCTCATACATGCTCATTTCGAATTTTATATTTTCGTATATGGCCACACATCCATCTCAACATTTTAATCACTGCTACTCCAACTTTATGCTCTTATTATCCCTTTAAAGCCCGACATTCACTGCCATATAACAAAGTTAGTTGTATAACAATTCAATAAAACTTCCCTTTGAGGGCCTAACACAACCCTCCTCTTTTACCTTGGCTAGAAACTAACTATAAACATAGGTGGAGTTTATACACACACTCACACATATTGTTTATTACATTAATTCATTGGCAATAGAATTTTGGAATAAGGGTTTGTCGCTAAGAATTTGATTTGCTTGGGCATGGGAAAATCCTGCCCAAAATAAAAAATATAAGGAATGGCGGTACGGGATGAATGTGAATGTTACTATGCTTACCACTTAGCAACCTCTATCTAAAAATTACACATATTTTCACATATTTCCATGCAATTAAGCAACTATGTCTATGACTGACGTTAGAAAATAAAAAGGAATGAGAAATAGCAGTACTTGAACACTAACAAGCCTTGCAGTTTAAACACAATAACAATGTGCGCTATATGAGATTGTTAAATCACAATTTGATACAATGAAAACAGTAAGGATCAAATGAATAAAGTGCCAAATACATATAAAAGTAAGCATTGAGCTTGAGTTCAGATAAGCTGAACAACATGGAATTGGAAAACACTCATACAAATAGATTATATAGCATCAGAGGAGCTCATACATACAATGGCAACAGAACAAACTGAAAAATATTACTCACATAAAAAGTCCACCATTCAATATAATACAGAACACATAAAAAGTCCATTGTTCTGCCTCATGTACCTGCAGCGTCTGATGAACTAGCTCCATTAATTGTTTAGCTGCTTTGGACACTAAACACCTTTCCGATAAGAATAATAAATCCACCACATGGCTGGATGAATGTACAGAAGTTCCATGGTTCTTCCATATAGGACCATCCTTTGTATACTCCTAAAGCAGCATTCATTGTCAATAACCATGATGTCATGATAAACAACAGAATGATTCACCAGATCTGGAAAACTCACTCTAGGAATGGCAAAGTCACAACCTAGCAGTAGATTTCTAGCCTTTGCCAAGATCTCAATCTTTTTCTTAGATGCAAAGTGAACCTCGACATTTTCAGAAAAATTGCTCAGCCTGTTATCCTTGTCATCAGATGCTGAAATAAACATGATTTCTTTTAAAGCCATCTCAAAATCTACTGTGCGTTTGGTTATCTTCTGAAAGTCGGGAAGTTTAGATGCATCTGTGGGGACAACCTGAAACAAAAGTTCAAGTGATTTTATCTGCAAGCTTTAAATCCTCTTTTTAAAGAAATCTACATAAAATATTAGACACCACACCTAACACCAGATAATGTCTTAATCATTGGATTTGACCATTTGATCAAATTTTAATTTACCAATGCAGTATTAACTAGACAAAGTTTCTTAAATATTAGGCTTCTTAGAAGAATTACATGGAAAGAATTATGACAAAGCACTTAGAAGCAAACCTTTGAAAGAAAGCTAGATATTATCAGTTCTGATATCCTGGGCCATGTCAACCGTCCAAAACACTGTATCCAAGAAGCATTTTGGAAGCAAATACTTCTGTAAATAAATTTAATAACCAATAGAATCCCTGAATAGAGAAAATCTCCATCCGAATTTTCAACCTGCAAATTGGAAAAGCAGACTTTTAGGAAAAGTCCATGGAAGTTAAGTAACAGGAAAATGCAATCAACCTTTGCTTTCCAAAAAAAAAAATGTTCATGCTATATACAGGAAAATTGATGGAAGCCATGCCAGCAACAAGCAGCTCAACATTTGATTCTAACAAAAACATTATTTTTTCATATAGAGGTGATAAATAATCAATATCATTTCAATAATAATATTGATATAAATTATAAAATAGAAAGGAAGCTGCACTTTTCACAAGCTGTGGACAGTGTGGCTCAACCTCGAGTTCTATGTAACTGCCTGGGCCCTACCTAGCTGTATTTCAAAACCTAGCAAATGCATGGATCCTTTTAGACATCAATGATTGGCAATGCATGCAAGTTCATTCAAGAAATCAGTGATCAATAAATGAGAATGGCATTCTTTGGGGGGTGGGGGAGCTCAATAACATACCCAGGAAAGAACCCATCCCACCTTTTTCTAAGACAAGCATATCACTATTGCCAGATTTGCAAAGAGCCCATGACCTAGCAAGGCATGAAAGCAAAAAAGATTATGAAACCATAAAATGCAACACTTACTTTTGCATCTGGAGATGAGACTGTCTTCAATACTGCTGAGTCTTCATTCAGTTCCTCCAGAAATGAAACAGGCTGTCCAGAATTTATGAATGGAGTAATGATATACTTGATCATCAAATCAGCAACTTTAGTGAGCCCATACTCTAAAATGCCAACCACCTATAAGTAGTGTTTAAGTAGGAAACGAATGAATTCATGCAATTTAGCCCATCAAACAGAGGGTGTAATAATGGAATGAATTAACTTACTTCCATTGCCTCCATCATTGTTTGGAGCTCAATCCCATTAATACTATCTACTTCCAAATGATATTTGACTTCAACTCGATTAGATTGCCCATCAAATTGTACAGCCTTTTCCATAAATTTTAATAGGACCTCTTGAATCTACAAACCCAAAACAAATCAAATTCATTTAAATACAATCACAAATTCAATAAAAGTCACAAACTCCTCAAACATCATTACTATGAAATAAGCAAGCAAATCATATGAACATATTGTTAATTATGCTATAAATATAATTTGACCCTGTTTTATGCCCTACCCCTGTAATTACCTTCGAATTCCTTTTTGTCCATGGATGTTCCTGCTCTAACTCATTGCTCTCTCTTTCCTCAGTCTGAGAGTTTGTCCATCATTCTAATTCCTTTTTTTTTCTTTTCTTTTTAAACAACAACCAGTCCAGTACAGTATAAAACATTTCATATCCAGATAACTTAGTATGCAGCCTCCATTTGAGAAAGACAGAAGAAAAACATACAATGATATTGCATTGCATCCTGTCTTTACCCACCAAACAATTTCATTTGCTGCACGCCTACACCCTACCTCAATGTTGCAGAATTTTGCACACAAATTCTAGGCATGCTTTGTCATGTTCAATACATTTTCTTAACCATACTTTCTTTTTCTAGAAACTAAGTTCTCCTTTAATCCAAAGTACCAATATTTGCGTTTCACTTTGTGATAAATTGTCATTGCCACTTTTTTACAACTAATAAATTGATGTTAAGAAATATTAGAGAAAAATAGAACTATCCAGCATTGCCCAACCCAGGAGCAATTCTATGTACCCAGTTCTCTAAGCTTTCATATTCAGGAGAGGCATCAATGTCTTGTATCAATTTATTTCTGAAGCTGCAATCCAAAGTAAACCTCGACTCTCCTATTTATAAATTTAGAGCATTACAAATCAAAGAAATTTTGTTTAACACTACATTCTCTGCAATAATCTCAGAGCCTAAAACTTATGCCCAATAGAAATTATAACTGGAAATATATACATATATATATATATATATATAAGGAAGAGAATTGAGTACCTCTTCAAAGCACTGAGACCACTCCTTCCTCAATAACTCATATACCAATGGCTCCTCATCAACCCCATGATTATCATCGTCAGCAATCCTCAAACCCATTTTCAAGTCTCTTAACCCCTCAGCAGCAAATTTTAGCCTTCCATTCGTCAATCCATCCCTCACACCCTGCAACATCCCGTTCACTTCGACAATGGTTTTCAGCAATCCCAGCAGCTCCCGTTTTACGTTCAACTCCTCCCTCTTGCTCCTCATCTCCTCCAACACCTCGCGTACCCCCGCGTCAGCCGGAGAGTTGGAAAGTAACCGCATGATGTCGGCGACGCCACCTGAAATCTGATGGGACTGCGAAACGGCATCGTTGCAGAGTGAAAAGAGATTGGCAAAGTCCTCGTGGTGAGAGACGAGATAGGACTGAACTTTCGATTTGATGTGCAAAGAATGGGACTCTAGACGCTGGATGAGGAGGCGCAGATCAGGCGCGGAGAGAGGGGAGTTATGGTCAGAGAGGTCTTGGGTGGATAGAAGGTCTCGGACGTTGATGGAGTCGAAGAGGGACTCCATGCGGCGGATTAGACGGCGGTGGATAGGAGAGCGTTACAACATGAATGGGGTTGAAAATGGTGAAGACAGGAGAAAATCGCCGGGGAGTTGCTAACGTGAGCCTGGGCGGGAGTGTTAGGCCATGCTCGGACGGCGAAGAAGTGCGCTTGGATTTCAAGTAGTATAATTGGTTATAAAAATAATTAATTAATATAATTAATTTTAAATATAATTGATTATGTTATAAGTTCTAACGTGCTCATGTTTGGATATTATTTTTTAAAATTAATTTTAATAAAATTAAAAATATTTAGATAATTTAATAAAGCGTTAATGAGCATTTTGCACCCTAATGTATTATGCAAAAAACACTATGAACTATAAACTCTTAAAATGTACAAAATGAACCTGAATTTTTAAATTTATAGCAAATTAACTAATTTTTAATTCACCATTAATGTCATCACTGTTTATCAAGTGGGGCCTACTCAAAATGTTGATATAGTAATTCCTTGTTAATGTGTTATTTTATTAGCATTACAGATCCTAAACTATTGCGTAAGCAACATCTTAGACTCTAAACTTTAAAATTCATAGCAAATTACCTTCATTGTTTATGTGTAGAATGCTGATTATTATGAAAACCAAATTAGTCTTAGCATGGTCTGCCGCGATAAATGTATCATTAGCCACAGCAAACGACTCATAATTTTGTAAAATGAATTTTTTGCCCTTTTTTTGTAATATTTTTCAAATGATTGATATCTCATGATTTTATAGATTCTATAACTCTGATTTAGTTTTATTTTGAATAATATTTATTTATTTTATGATGAAAATTTGGGATCCCATTTGAAAAGAAGTTTAAGATTTAAATTAATCGCTTAATTTGGTTTGAAATCCGTTGATGAAATTGTTGGCCTTCTCATCCATCATCAGTAAAAATCTCTTATATTTAAACTTCTTTTCAAATGAGATCCTAAATTTTCACCATTAAATAAATAAATATTATTTAAAATAAGATTAAGTCAGAATTACAAAATATGTGAAAGTATGAAATACCACTCGTTTGGAAAATATTACAAAAAAAATGCCATTTCATAAAATTATGGATTGTTCGCCGCGGCCAATGATGTATTTACCGTGAGGAACTGTGATGAGACTAATTTGATCTATACAATATTCAATGATCTACACATAAATGATTGGAGTAATTTGCTCTAAATTTCAAAATTCAAGATTTAGGATGCTCCTCACACAATAGTTTAGGATTTATGGTGCTTATTAAAAATGACACATCAAGAAGAGACTGCCACATCAACATTTTTGACTGGGCTGAACACTTGATGAACAATAACGGCTTTAATGGTCAGTTAACAGTGAGATTTAATTTATTATAAATTTAAAATTTTATGATTTATTTTGCACATTTTAAGAGGTTATGATCCAGAAAACTTTTCTCGCAATACTTTAGGATCCAAAATACTCATTAACCCTTTTGGTAAGAATTAATTTTAGATATGTAAATTATCATAAAAGACATTGCTTTTGAAAATTAAAAAATTAATAAAGTTGTATATAATGTTATTAAATTTGTTCAACTTATTTAATAAGTAAAATATATTATTTAACTTATATACTTGATTAATTATAGAAATTTAAATTATAAATGGCTATCCAAACCGGCATAGAGATGTTTGGATGATTAGTCAAAATTCATTTTAGATTTGTAAATTAACATAAGGGATATTTCTTTTTAAAATATAAATATTAATAAAATTATATATAATATTATTAAAATTGTTGAACTAAATAAAATATGTACAATAATGATCCATTAAATATTTATATAATTATTTAACATATATATACTGATTATATATATATATAAATTTAAATTATATTATGTTATAATATTAGTGATCACCATCCGTTGTGCTTCCATTTCAGAATCCAAAAATATTTGTACTTTTATATGCAAACTTATCTTGCTAGTGAAACTCCTAGGAAAATTGTTTGAACATCACTGTCATTGGTAACATGAAATGCCGCATCCTTTACCGGAAAATAAAGAGTATATTTGCCCCACCCCCCCCCCCCCCCAACACACACACACACAGATAAATGTGATAATTGATTAACATAGGTTGCTTAAAGCAAAACGGAGTTTCAGAAGAAAAGTTGGATGTGAGAAAAATGAGGTGTTTGGATGTTTGTTAATCAAACCGCAGTTTTGATAGGTAGAATTGATTATTTTTGAATATCCAAATAGGTGAGAAATATGGTAATGTTTTGATTGATGAATTTAAATTTAAATTTTATATTTAAAATTTTTTATTTTGGATAGTTTAAAAATCTCAAATGAAGAAGATAAATGAGTTGATATTTAAAATGAAAATGAAAAATTAGGAATAATAAATTTATCTCTTTTTTAATCAAGAGAAGCAATAACAAGAAATGAGAAAAGATACAAGAATTATAAAATATTAATAATAAATGACTAAGTGTTGAGAGAATTTAAAATTATAAAAGAATTGTAATAAAAAGTGAATTTGGATGTAAATCAAATCTAATTCAAATTCAAATTAATCAATTTTTATACATCCAAACAAGTAATTTGAATCAAATTTAAATTGAAATTAAAACTTTCATTAATCTAAATCCACTATGACATTAAGGTTGGTACTCAACCAACTATCAAGAGAAGGTACATTTTGTTCCAGATGTAGTAGAGGGAAGGAGGAAGAAGGCTCCGAGGAGAGAATCCAATTCTAGAAAAAATTATGCGAATACAACAAAGTACACCCATCAATAAAATTGATGAAGTTGCAATTAATGCAAAATTAGCCAATTAAAAAATAATAGTCATGTTTTTAATCCTCCAATTTACCTACTAATAAAAAAAAACTATGCCATTTGATCCCCTTGTCAAACCATTTGATCCCTTTATCCATACAAAATTTGTAATATAAAAATTATCATTGAGGGTTTTACAACGAATGACTTATTACCAACCCTTTTGGACATAGATCAAGTGTAGTTTCTTTGGGAAAATGACACTTATTTTCTCAGTTTAAAAATGTAAGGCTTTTAATTTGTCTAGGTATAATCATTGCCTTTTTAAAAAAGTATTTATATTAATAAATGACTTTATATTTATTGTAAGATGTTTAATAAGGGTAAATATAAAAAGATAGCATTAACTTAAAAGTATATAACTACTTTATTAGGGCAAGATTCGATTAAAAATGCTTTATATTTTTTAATAAAGAGAGTAAGTTTTGAGAGGATGATTTTATTGAAGTAAAGTCCAAACAAATTTTAAAATGTAAAATAAATTCTTTATATTCTTAACTGATATTTTTCACATAATACAATCTGTTATTAGTTTTGAAAGAAAAATAAGTTATAAATTCAACAAGACGAAATTATAAATTTAAAATTGCAAAATATCAAATTATCAAATTTGGGAGACAAATTTGCAATTTTATTATTTTGAATTTCAAATTGCTTTTCCAATTTTAATAGGGAATGTAAATTTTAATAATTAAATTTGAAAAATAACATGTCATTATTTGAATACTTATATCAATTTATAACATTATCTTCTAAATTCACAATTTTATCTTGTTAAATTTAAAACTTATTTTGTCAAATTTAAAATTAGAAACAATTTGTATTATATTAAAATACCAATTAATGGTTTAAGAGATTTACTTTACATTTTAAATTTTGTTTGGGACTTCAATGTCATTCCTCTATTTTTTTTTTCCCTTGACATAGGGCACGCTCGACCCTACACACACACACATAATAATAATAATAATGATAATGATAATAATAATAATAATAATAAAGTTAAGGATGCAAAATATTTTTATGATATTCTTAATTGTACTCTTGATGCAAGCTATGAAGAACAAATGACTCTCATTTTGAAGTGTGTTGATGATACCTTGACTTCAATAAAAATAGAAGAATATTTTGCAGATTACTTTTTTAATGAACTTATTAATGCATTGAATCTGTGTGTGTAAACAAACTTGATATCAATGACATAAGGGGACAAGGTTATGACAATAAATCTAACTTGAAAGGTAAAAATCCTATATATAGCATCATTTTAGACACCATGTGAATGCCATGATTTGAACTTAGTCTTATGTGATCTGGCCAATTCATCTCCAAGAGCTTTTTTGTTGTTGTTGTTACGCAACACATTTATTCTTGAAAAAATTACATGAGTCCCACCTAAGAAACTCGTGTACAATTGAATCTCACATATTTATAAAAATACTCTCAAGTTTCATGAAACATGTTTGTAATTAATTTAACATGTGAAATGATATGAATGCCCTTAAACTTATAGCCAAATGACTATCATTGATTGACTACCAAGTATTGGCTGATGTTGACCGGGCACAGGCTAACGATCACTAGTCAAAAAACAAGTTTTTTGAAAAAAAAATATTTTTATTGAATTATTCATATTTTAATATTTATAAGTCAAATATCACATATTTACAATTAAATCTTCAAGATTTACAGCTCAATTTTCTTACATTTACAAACTTGAAAACAAAGTTATAAATTGATATTGCACATTAGGGCCACACAAAAGACTAGCTCTATAGGACTTTGGCCTAACTGGAACCTTGGTCCTTTTCATAAAAAGAATTGAGTTATACAACTCATGGTTTAGTTTAGTTTAATCCTTGTATAACCTAAAGCCGAACAGGACCAAATTAGTCCAATAGGACTAGAAGACAGATACCAATTTTGTCTAACATCTTTATTTTTTTTTCCTTTTTCATATATGAGGTAGTAATTTATTTCAACATAATAAATTCAATTACCAAAATAAAATTACTTATAGTCATACAAAATTTATCACAACAACAACAATTATAAATCCACAACAATTTCCAACAACAACAAAAAGTATTTCAATTACAATACAAATTATTTAAATCAAACAACCTTCAATAGCATTAAACAACCTTTAACATGTTTAAAATCTATTACATCAAGTTAACAACAAATTTCACCAATAAAAGGAGAAGATCGAAGTTGATTAATGTTGGAATTTTGATCAATATTCATGACTTCATAGGTATAAAACAAAAAATACTAATTATTATTATAAATTAACTTATTGTAAT